CAATTCATGTTGATTCCAAAGCTCCTATGGCCACTGCTAGTCTACGAGGTGACGATGACTGCAGTTGAAGCCATGGAGAAAAAAATCAACACAGCCTTAAGAAAGTGGATTGGAGCACCGCCTTGTCTGACCGACGTGGCTCTGTATTGCAAACAGGCTAAGCTGGTACTTCCGTTCAAGTCGATAACAGAAGAGTTTAAAGTCGGCAAGGTAAGGCTCGCCATGCTCTTGCGCGAGTCTTCAGACCCAAATGTCACCGCTGTCCAGCCCGCTCTAAAGACTGGCCAGAAGTGGAGGGTCCTCGATGCGATTGAATCTGCTCAGAACGCACTAAAATTGAAGGAGATTATGGGTTACACACAAACCGACCGTCGAGGCCTAGGGCACGGGAAGGTCAATTGGTGGTCAAAGGCCTCAGCCAAGAGCGCCGAGACATGGTGATACAAACGGTGAGGGACAACGAAAACGAGGTTCGGGTCCAGAAAGCAGCCCAGCAGTCGCAGCAGGGCCATTGGGTCAGCCTGGAGAGCGCATTGCCGAGAATACTCACATGGGGTGAGATCTGGCGGATGACCCCGCTGCGACTGAGCTTTATCGTTCGTTCGGCGTACGATGTATTACCGTCCGGTGTTAACATGGTTAAATGGTCTGCGACCAACGATCCGACTTGCCCGTTGTGCAAATCGAAGCAAACTCTTGAGCACGTCCTGTCTGCGTGCAGGAAAGCTCTAGGTCAAGGCCGATACACCTGGCGCCACAACAAGGTGCTAAAGGAGTTAGCAGCCGTTGTCGACCAGGCTAGAATGAGGGCTAATGCCAGAGCCAGTTCTAGTATCGCCCCCATTCGTTTCCTCAAGGCTGGGCAGGTTCCAATCGGTAAGGTCAACAAAAACGCATTCGCTCCATCTGTGCTAGACTCTGCGAGGGACTGGTTACTGGCGGTTGATCTGCCAGGACATGAACGGTATCCCGAGTTAATCCGTAAAACCGGCCTGCGACCGGACATCGTTCTCCATTCTGCGCAAAAACGGCAACTCATCCTGATTGAGTTGACGGTCCCGTTTGAGTCGCGTATGGAGGAGAATCACTTGTACAAGCTCGAAAAGTACAGTGATTTAGCAGCCGGTTTGAGGAGAAACGAGGCTTACACAGTGCGGGTATTTGCCGTCGAAGTGGGAGCGAGAGGCCTCGTTTCCACTTCGCTCTACAATGTGGTAAAAGAACTAGGATTACGCGGTAATGAACGGAAACGAACACTCAAAAAACTGGGAGAGGTGGCCGAAAGGGCCTCTAGCTGGCTGTGGACGCAGCGCAACAACGTAGGGGACGGGCCTCGGTGAGCTGGTCCGGGTGTCTAGCGAAAAAGAGTTTCTCATCCCTTTGAAAGTCCATCGTGTCCGAATTGTCTGCCAGTGTTCCTCTGCCAACTGCTATTAAAAGTTCAACATGTGTCCGGTAAACCAAAGTAAGCTTGTCGCTCGGTCGTCCAGACATGCGGACTGTTTTAATTACGCTGTCGCGGCGGCTTCTTATCTCACAGTACCTCCTTCGAAACCACTAAGTCGTCTTGTCTCTGGCCGAAATAATAACACCATCCGGTAATTCTGTGCAGCTGGGAAGCAGCCCTGAGCTTCATGAACTCAGGTGGGCCCACCTCCGAATACGTTTAGGAATCGTGGGCCGAAACGTGTGTCGAAAGAGGATAATTTCTACTGATGACTGTAGATCCCCGCTGTACTTGCTCCCTGTGAGTTTATTCCTATTTATCTACTCCTTTCTTCTAAAACAACGACCCCCTTAGACTTTGCTTCTGGTACAGCAAATTGAAAAAAAAAAGTATTCTTTAAGAGCTGACTGACTGTTTCACTTCTTTATTTATTCTTTTTCTGCTGCATACTTCCCTTAAAAGAGCTGTTGATATGTTGTCTTGTAGTTTTCAGCTAGGCTGTGATATATGGGCCTTTTGCCCAACAAATCTGATTTAAGAAATCCCATATAGACTGCTACCTGAAGGCTTGATTCTGCAGCGACCTGAAGAATCGCGTCCTGGATGTCAGTCCGATAGACAAATTACAGATACCCTTGCACACCTTCTAAACAATTGTACTTAGGACTGATAGGCCTGCTGGACTGACCCCGTCTGGGGGGTCGGGGAGGGGGGGACTGCAAGGATCCCTCATTCACGGGAGTTGAGTTGGGCTGAGTAAAAAATGGACATCACAGCACTCGGCGAATTCCCATATATGCTCCGTCCCCACCTTCAGCAACCAATGCAGAGTTCCAGTAGTAACGGTGCCTGTCGTATTCTGGTTATATATCCGTCTTGCCTTTACTGTGAGGAGTGAGCCGGCCAGACACTCTGGTCACATCCAGGTGTATTTTTCTCTCCAGACCATACTCATACAGTTTCTCTTCTGACTTCACTGCTTGTTCCCAAAGGGCTTGCTATGCTTTGTATCAATTTGCCATTCAGTGGTGCAGATCCAGCCAGTCTGTCTGCCTGCTCATTTCCCACCACATCGGCCTAGCCAATGGAGAGGGTAACAAGAGAAATGGAAGCTTTTGAAGCTCCCACCTGAGACGAATGAGGCAGCCTTTAGTGTCTGTGGGCTCTGGGCTCAATCCAGATTTGGGGGACACGCAAGATGTATAGTTAAAAACAGATGACAACGGATACCATCAATATGGAAACTTCTCTGGCTGCTGGAGAGGGAGGCGGAGCTGCTATGTTCTTGTCCTGAATGTTGGTATGTGGAAAAAATTAACCCTGAAATTAAGTAAATGTTATTCAAAGTTATATCCTGATATACCATGAGGTAATTAAAGTGGGAAAATTTTTCTCTTAACCAATTCTTTTATTTAAAAAAAATAAATAAATAAAGGAACCTTATCCACGCCTTCAGACGTTTTGGGCATATAGGGCTAGGCCTGTTATCGGCACTGAGTGGGTGATGTGGTCAGCATCCCACCGGCAGCCGGTACTGTCCAGGACTGTACCGGTACCCATTCAAGGCTGGGTCAACCTGAGAACCAATGTCATTTTTTGAAAAAGGGTCCGGCTCTATCAGGACCCGAACCCACGACCTTCCGATCCACAGGCGAGCGTCTAGCCGCTACAGCACGAAGACTTCCCACTTCTTCTAATAAAGTAAAATTAAATAAAGACCCTTTTGAAAAGTGACCTCCTGAAGACCACTTACTTCAAGATAATAATAAAGCAGTTATGTCGAGGGGGAGGGGGGGGGGCGAATGGCGCATATGCTTGTTATAATAAGTTCGTGGTAAATTCCCATGGTGCCATTTAATCTATGTATATACTCGTATTTTAACACAAGTCTTGTGGAAGTGCCAGTAAAATAAATATGTTTTAACCTTATCGATCATTTATATTTCATTCCTGTTGATGGTTTCCGTCGGGGCCCCAGCACACTTGATTGTCTGAAGGCCTATAATACTGTTGAGACGACCCTGCCTGTCCTGTCCTCGGGTTCCGGGACCCTTGCCACAAAGGTCATAAACTAGGGCCAGATACAGAAGCTTGAAATATAATTGCATCAGCTTAATTAAGGCAACTCACGTAGTCCACAGTGAACAAGCACTCAACATGAACGTCCACAGAGAAGCGTGATGTTTATTACGTGTGTAAACTTTACTTCAAATGCTAACGCACTACCTGCTATACAATCTAGGCAGGCTAAAGACGCTCTATAATATATGTATTATTGTATCTATGGAGTCCCATTTGGTAGCCAATTGGCTGGCCGGTAGACGACTTCGTTGTTGGTCAGGAGTGTATTTGGGTCTATCTCTCTTGATCGCATCGACACTGTAAGAGTCTTTTGCAGGGCAAGTTGGTGGCTACAGTGTTAAGCTGTTTCATAGGGCGCAAGTAGCCTAGTCACAGTAGAGTGAAAAGTAGAGATCCCTTTTCACGCTTTAGGCGCATAGGGCATAGGGGAAAAGCATCTAAATTTTTACAGACTAGTCGTCACTAGGTGGGTAATGTGGTCAGCATTACACCGGCCTTTTTTACTTCCCCAGGTACCCATTTTAGACTGGCTCGACCTGCGACGCCCCATACCACGATAAAAATCCACGCAGCCAGCAGTGGGTTTCGATCGCGGTGCGTTGGAATTACGAGTCGGACTCGCAAAACCTAGTCACAATTATAACTAAAACGTACCCCCTTGGGGGGATGGCTGTGGAACATGATGATTTTGACAGGTCTCTCTCTCCGTTGACCACATCAACATTGCAGGAGTCCTTGTCAGGGCTCTTGGTGGCGTGCGAACCTAAGCCATTTTGTGTGGCACACGTAACCAAGTCACGATTATAACCTAAAGCTCTCCCTTCGGGGATGCTGTTTGAACGTGACGACATTTTTTTACCAGCAAAGCACCTACCAACGTAAAAGCTTGAAAAATCGAAACAGTATTTATTCTCTCTTGTTTTATAACCGTTTGAACTACTATGTTGATGACCAAACCTCACAGTAGCTGGCGACGAATTACGAGTCGTACAAAGTCGTTAAAGCTACAAGTCACAAGTCGAGTCGCCAGTCGCTGTAAAAAACCCAAAGTCGAGTTGCAAGTCGTTAATTATGGGACTTCAGTTGGATTGCAGTCCAGATGGCACGACTTGAGTTCCCACCTCAGTAAACTAATGAATGTTGAATGCTGAATTAGGTATCGACATCACAGCACTCCGGGCACTTTCGTAAGCGCTCCGTCTCACCTTTAGCAGTAAGCGCAGAGTTCCACTTCTAGTGGCACCAATAGTAGTCTGACTGTATATCTGTCCTAACTTTTCTTTGAGTACTGATCGTTGACCCACTTCCA